AAAGGGAGAGGGAAGAAAGGAGAGAAAGGAGGAAGGGGCGGAGGAGGGGGAGGAGGAGGAGGAGGTGGAGAAGGAGGAGAAGGAGGAGGAGAAGGAGGAGAAGGAGGAGAAGGAGAAGGAGAAGAAGGAGGAGGAGGAAGAAGAAGAGGAGGAAGAAGAAGAAGAGAAAGAAGAGGTGGAGGTGGAAGGGGTGTCGGGTGAAGAAGAGGAAGAAGAGGGTCAAGAAGGAAACAAGAGGAGGAAGAGGGTCACGAAGGGAACAAGAGGAGGAAGAGGGTCACGAAGGGAACAAGAGGAGGAAGAGGGTCACGAAGGAAAGAAAACAGGAGTAGGAAGAAAAGGAGGAGCAGAAGATAGAGTAGAAGGATGTGGAGGTGGAGGTGGAGATAGTGGTGGTGATGGGAACAGCGGTGGTGGCGGCGGCAACGGTGGTAGTGACGGCGGCGGTGATCGTCGTGGTAGTGACAGCGGTGGTGGTGGTGACAGCGGTGGTGGTTGTGGTGTTGGTGGTGGTGGCGGTTTCGGTGGTGGTGTTGGTGGTGGTGGTGACGGTGTTGGTGGTGGTGGTGACGGTGGTGGTGGTGGTGGTGGCGGTAGTGGTGGTGGTGGTGGTGGTTGTGGTGGTGGTGGTGGTGGTGGTGGTGGTGATGGTGGTGGTGATGGTGGTGATGGTGATGATGATGGTGGTGGAAGTGATAATGCAAGTGGTGGCGACGGTGGAGGCGACGGTGACGGTGACGATGCAACGAGTCGAAAGAGTAAAACTTACGAAAAATTTGTAAAAAAAAGGACGATATAGTGGAGAATGAGAAAGTAGATACTGCGTAGACCGAAGGAAGGATTACTGCGTGAAATCGAAGAGGAGAAGAGTAGTGATACGTGGTTTGGTGCATTATGCGGTATTGGATTATTTAGAGAAACGATTCAACGATTCTACGATTTGGTTTTTCGGTTACGAAAAGGTAGTCGACGTTGAATACGAACGCGTGAGAAAATTAGTTGGGGCGTATGTACCAACTGGTACGGATACAGACATTAAACCTCTGTCACCCGTCCTCATCGTTGACAGTTCTCGATCGTGATAAGGTTCTACGTTACGCAACTAAAGCAATCGCGGAAATATGAAAAAGAGGAAATATATGGAAACATGGACCGAATATTGTGAAAGTGTGTACAGAAAGTACAGGTACATCGGTGAGAAAGTGACAAAGAGAATAAGTGATACGCAAGAATAAACAATTATTATTAAAGAAGAAAGGGAGATAAGTCGGAGCTATCTACTGTCCGTATATTATAACGTTTGTTACCGTTTTATGACCGACCTTCATCGAAGGGACGTCTTTGTTAATCGATCGATAATGAAGTTTCCTTGAATTTTCAACGAATCAGTAGGACTGATCTCGATTTAATTCGGTGTTCGACGAGGGAAATGAAGCTGCCGACGCGTATAATCCACCATGGGGGACAACGACCGTCACCGCGCTACAAGAAGCTGTGTCAACTTAGCGATTCGCTACGTGAGTTTCGAGAGTGAATATTTCTGGGAAAAACTACTTTGTAAGCAAAAAACAGATCGCAACGTGAATCGTAAAAAAGTGGAAAGACGCGTCAGAGTGCACGTAACATTCGATCGAACGTTTCGTTAGAAATAACTTTGCGCATATGCAAAATTTCAATTTAAACCCATTTCGCATCGATTGGCCCTAATCGCTTTCTAACAAAATTGCCACCTTTTTTGTGGATCATTTCGTTTCACGTTTCTTCCAATGTTTACTCGTTTATCCTTTCGATATTTCGTGCCTTTATCGTATTTCTGCTTCTTCTTCAAATTTTCTTTTTCCGAGCTCGTTCTTTTGCGGTTTAATAATCATTGTTTAAAAGGAGAAAGGTAGAGTAAAGCGAAACACGAATTTCATAATACACATACCGAGTATCGATAGTATCCACACAGTATTGTTAGATATACAGTTAGATATATATAACATTTCATTTTTATTTATCTCGATTCTATTCGACTCTTTTCCTTACATCCGAAATAAGTATTTCATTTATATTCCAGTCTCGACCAACGGAATAGCACAGAATATGTTATTCGTTGATCAGTGCTTATACGATTATTACATATGTATGAAAGAGACAAAAATTGCCGAGGTGAAGTGTATTGCCCCTTTAGAAGCTGTTCGATCGAAGCACTTTCAAAAAAATTTACTATAAAATTTTACTATAGTTTAACGATATATATGTGTGAGTGCGTTTGCTCGCGGGTATTTGAATTTGCTCTACCCCTTCCTGTCTCAAAATTCTCTACCACTCCCGGAATCCTCACGGAATCGAATGTGCTCGTTTTACGATATTTATGTCGAGAAATAAAACTAATAATTCTTTGTGGAAACGCCGGTTTATGATTAGAAAATAGACAATCGTTCGATTCGATGTCGAACTCTCGCGTTAGTTAGGTGGTGGATAGAAAAAGGGAGGAGAGTCGTTATACATAGTTTTGAATGGAGAAGGTAAAATGACGCAATGAACTCGGTTCTGTTGTCGGTTGATGCAACCGTGACGCGAGTTTACGCGAACCATGACGAGACAGTTTCTAAAGTAGCTCGATTCCTTACGAATTAGTTATGTATGTTGTTTAGGAAAAATCAGAGAATGACACATAACGTAGTAAATGACAAATTCTTGGAACGAGATCAATTCATTTTTTCCTTATTAAAAATGTCAAACTTCATATTCATATACGCAAAACGTTCGTGAATTAAAAATCACGTTTGTTTCGATAAAATATATTGAACGAAACCAAACGATATGAATTTGTCGAATAATTTATAATTGTTAGAAATAATAGACGGGATAAAATACGATATAAAAGGAGCTAGATGTTACAATTATATAAGAAGCAGCAACGATGAAAATAGATGTGTGTAATGGAAACGTAGATGAAACTGGTATTGCCAATGACGATGATGTTTGATAATGCTGGTAGAGGTTGTTAATGGTATTGGTAATGCTGATGCTAGTATTGCTTATGATGACTGTAGGGGAGTATATGGGTGACGGTAACGGTGACGATAACAATGACGATGATGTTTGATAATGCTGGTAGAGGTGATGTTAATGGTGTTGGTAATTCTGATGCTAGTAATGCTTGCAACGACTGTAGGAGAGTATATCGGTGACGGTAACGGTGACGATCCAATGACGATGACTATGACGATGACTATGACGATGACTATGACGATGACAATAGCGATGATAATATCGACTGTAATGTTTGTGGCGCTGGCAGTGGCGATAATTGTAATGATGACAATAAAAAATGTGGAGTATTTGGTTAAATCCAGAATATTCAAAGTATTTACGTACAAATGCTCATAAGAATATATGCACGACTAAAAGGAAAATAACGAATTAACTTGGATATATAATCAAAAGAGAGGAGGTGACCGATGAAGAACAAAAGTTAAAGAGAGAGAAAGAGAGAGAGTGGGAGAAAGAGAGAGAGAGAGAGAGAGAGAGAGAGAGAGAGAGAGAGAGAGAGAGAGAGAGAGAGAGAGAGAGAGAGAGAGAGAGATGAAAAGGAAATCTGGCCTATTGTTTAAAAGCCAATGGGATCAGTTGGTTCGATTGTCACGCACGGCCCACCTGTGCGCGGTAGATCGCGCCGGAGAACGGCTGTCCTTCGATATATCTCACGTTGTTCGGCCCCATCGGACTCGCGACGGTGTTGGAGCCGTAAGGGGGTGGGTGGTCAAGGAGGCGGACGGACTTCTGCCGCGCGCGCGCGCCTTTCTCGAGATCGCGATACAACAGTTCCGCGATGGTACTTGTCTCGCATGTTTCCTTCCGCGACGTTTGAGGAACTGCCTCAAAAAAGGAAGTGTTTTATAAGGGATTGAAAGACGCACAGAAAAGACATCTTAAAATAACACTCGACGAGCAACGAAAGAATTATTAAGATAACCTTCAAAGAGGCAAGTTCGAAATATCTAGTGAAGTGACAATTATTGTTTCTGGGTTTTTTTAAGACTAACACGAAATTTTGTTTACTAAAAGAGTAATGAAAAAAGAAATGTAAATGAAACGAATCAATTGGGACGAGTCTTTTGAGGGAGATGCAGAGACGGGGAAGGGAGGGCGAGTGGGAGAAAGAGAGAGTAAGATGGATAAATAGATAAACAGATAGATAGATAGGTAGATTGATAGATAGATAGGTAGATAGGTAGGTAGGTAGGTAGGTAGGTAGGTAGGTAGGTAGGTAGGTAGGTAGGTAGATAGATAGATAGGTAGATAGGTAGATAGGTAGATAGATAAATAGATAGATAGATAGATAGGTAGATAGGTAGATAGATAAATAGATAGATAGATAGATACATAGATAGATAGATAGGTAAATAGATAGATAGATAGATGGATAGATGGATAGATGGATAGATAGATAGAGAGATAGATGGATAGATAGATGGATAGATAGATAGAGAGATAGATGGATAGAGAGATAGATGGATAGAGAGATAGATGGATAGAGAGATAGATGGATAGAGAGATAGATGGATAGAGAGATAGATGGATAGAGAGATAGATGGATAGAGATGGATAGATAGATGGATAGACAAATAGGTAGACAGATAGACAGACAGATAGACAGACAGACAGATAGATAGATAGACAGATAGATAGGTAGGTAGATTGATAGATAGACAGATAGATAGACAGATAGATAGAGAGATAGACAGATAGATAAATAGATAGACAGACAGATAGATAGATAGATAGATAGATAGATAGATAGATAGATAGATAGATAGATAGATAGATAGATAGATAGATAGATAGATAGATAGATAGATAGTTAGATAGATAGATAGATAGATAGATAGATAGATAGACAGATATACAGACAGACAGACAGATAGATAGATAGACAGACAGACAGACAGACGGACGGACGGACGGACGGATAGACAGATAGACAGACAGACAGACAAGCGGACGCACAGACAGACAGACAGACAGGCAGACAGACAGACAGGCAGACAGACAGACAGATAGACAGACAAGCGGACGCACAGACAGACAGACTGACAGACAGACAGACAGACGGACAGGCGGGCAGTCAGTCAGGCAGGCAGACAGAGTGACAGACAGGGAGACAGACAGGGAGACAGATAGACAGATAGATAAATAGATAGATAGATAGATAAATAGATAGATAGATAGATAAATAGATAGATAGATAGATAAATAGATGGATAGATAGATGAATAAAGAGAGGGGGATAGGGGTTGGAGAGTTGAATGAAAAGAAGACTGACAAGAGGAAGAGAGATGTGACTGCGGAGGTGCAGGAGGATGAAGAGGTGGAGAAGGTGGAGACAATGGACCAGGTGGAAGGAAGAGAAAAATGGGAATGAAGAACAGAAAGAAAATAAAGAAACAAAGGGATTTATTCGGTGTAATAAATATATAAAATTGTAATAAAATTGTAAAACGATGTTCTACGAGAAATGGATTGTTTTGACGGAAGGATACAAAAATAGAGTGTAAAATGGAAAAATAAGTGAATGAAAAGAAGAGATAGATAAGTAGGAGGAATAGATAAATAGATAGAGAAAAATAAAAAGAACATCGAAAAAATGCGGAAGTTGAATCGAAGAATCGAAGAACATACGAAACGAAAAGAGGATGAAAGAAAGGAAGGAAAAACGTTTTAAGCGTAAGTCGTTCATACACCTATGTTACATATATCGTCCTATAACTACAACGATTCAAACTTCACCTCTTACACGTACAGGTTTGAACGTTATTCTTTTAATGTTAACATGTTTACGAATTCGCTTTAGCTTCTGATCGTAGTTCTCGTTAAACCAGCAAATAAACGTGTAATAAAGGAAGGAAAAAAAGGAAACATCCCACGCGATTACTACGATATTTACGATACTCGATTCTCCGTTTCAAACTATTATCGTAATTATTATTGAACGGAAGAAAGAGAAAAGAAAGAGAAAAGAAAGAGAAAAGAAAGAGAAAAGAAAGATAAAAGAAAGAGAAAAGAAAGAAATTTGTGACTTTTCTTCTCAGTTATTTTCATCGTTGAAACTACGTATACAATTATAAATGATTACAACGTAGAATACTTTTTAAAATTTCTAATTGTTCGAACCAGCTATAAATTTGTTTAATCGATTTAACGCTACGTTACGTTCAGTTCATAAATTATATTTTGCGCTATTTATTTACTTTTTGATTAATTTGTCATAAAATAGCTTGTAAACTCGAATCATCTAATTTTTCATTAGAAACCTATCACGTAAATTTTTACGAAACGTTTCCAGCATTGTCGAAGAATATTGTGCGTCATGAATATAAAATTCTTAAAAAGGTCAAAATTACATGTAATCGATAGAATCGTGTCGTATCGAGAATATCGATAAAAAGGGAAGATCACTGTTACGAGTATTCGAATGCAGCATTTTTAGAAAGGAAGGAGGGAAGGAGGGAAGGAAGGAAGGAAGGAA